TAGTGCTTATTACTTTTTTGGGGGTATTTTACGATTCATGATTCTCAGTTTAGTATTCTTTTCATCATATATTGGATCCTCATATGTAAAGCCTTTTTATGCTTTTTATACATGCCTTTATTTTAAAACCTGTTATACATAATGTAACTTATGTACAATTAATATATTTTGAGACAGGAAACAGTAGGAAAGAAAAAAAATTGGGAAACTCACACCCAGCCCCCAGGGCCCTATCCAGTCCACATAACAAACTGTGAAGACAGTAACAGAAGTCTTGAAGCTGGGGGAGTAGCTCAGTGATACAGTTCATGCTGAGCATGCATGAGGGTTCAGTACAAAAAAATTGAGTCTAACAATTATCTTTTCTACTTCCCATGCCCGTAAGCAATTAAGGACAAAAAGGAAAAGTCAAACTGAAGAATTAATAAACATTAGCTACAAAAAGTAAGAATACAGTTAGATCAAACAGTCAAGAGTGGAACTTTTACATTTGAATTACAGGGACACTGAAAACATGCCAGAAAATGAATGGGGATGTAGCTCAGTGTGCCAACCTAGCACCGAAGAGGCCCTGGGTTGGATCCCCAGTATCACAATTAGAGAGAGAGAGACAGACAGACAGACAAGAAAATTAGAAGGCAAGGGGAATGCAACAGACAATTTTAAAAATCTTTTAAAAATTTTATGTGTAGCCAGGTGTGATGTACACTTGTAATCTCAGCACTTGTTAGTCTAAGGCAGGAAGATTGCCATGAGTTTGAGGCCAGCCTGGACTACATCCTGAGAGACCCCATCACAAAACAAACAAAACAAATCATTCTGTGTAAAAAATTATAAAAGGCAGGGGCTGGGGATTTAGCTCAGTGGCATAAGTGTCTGCCTTGCAAGCATGAGTTCAATCCCCGGTACCGATAAAAAAAAAAATTACAAAAGGCAGTTTATAAAATAAATAGTTTCTGAACCATTTTTAATAAAAAAATCACTAAATTGAATTCACCGTACACCAAACTCTGTGAAAGGTGAAAACAATGTCTATCCTTTTGTAATGCTCACTTGAGAACAACACTCAATCTAACCTGCTTTCAGCGTCAAAATAGTACGATATACCAGGAACATTTTAATTGGGTAATGGCAAAATGACAATTGGCCAGAAAAAGAGAATACACTCTTGCAGAAGTATAAGACAATGTATAGAAAAATGCTGCGCAAATCAAGAGAAATAAAGCTCCTGTAAGATGAGGATGAAAAAAACAGCATGTTATCAGAATCACATGGGATACTTTTTCTACAACACACATGTGCATACCATTCTTAATTTGAACATAATTTCCAAAATGAATATATATGCATATTTAAAATTCCCAAGTAGTGATGATGATACCAAGTTATCTCTAAATCCTCCCTCTTGTTACTTCACAGTAATAAAGACTTATCACTGATATTTTGAGAGGAAGTTAAAGTATAAACTTATTTTGTTTATATACAAGGTAGGAATGTAATGGAAATGATCTGCTATTTGAAACTGAAGCAAGAATTATCAAGTAACAACGATAAGGGAAAGAGAAAAAGGAAAAGGGAAGTAGGAAATATGGGGGGGGGGGAGTGTTTTTGGTCCTTTCCTTGAAAAATAACTTGGAGGACCAGGGATTTAGCTCAGTGGCATAAGCACCTGCCTGGCAAGTCTGAGGTCGTGAGTTTGATCCCCGGTACCAAAAAATAAAACCCCCAAAAAACTTGGAAAAGCTGGGCAGTGATACATTCCAATACTTAGGGGGCTGAGGCAAGAGGATTGCCCACGTTCAAGGCCAGCCTAGACTAAACAGTAAGACCCTGTCTGTCTCTCTGGTTTTTTTGGTACCAGGGATGGAACCCACAATTGCACGTGTGCAAGCCAGGGAATTATGCCACTGAGCTCAATCCCCGACCCAAGGGCCTATCTCAAAAAAAAAAAAGGGAAAGAAAAAAAAAGATAACTCTTAATGACATACATTTTCAAGAACTGTTGATATTTCTGCTAGCAAAATGATAGTATGAGTAAAGTTGAGATAATAAAATAACATGAGAAGATGGGATAAGCCGGAAACAAGAAAGCACAAAGATGTGGTTGAAGAAAGCTGAGAAAATAACTCGGGATCTGCTCACACTGTTGACCAGTGATGTGCTCAGTACTCTACAGGCAACGCTGAGGAACGTGAGTGAAGCGATGGGGATGAACGAGGTGCAGGACAAGGCTAACTTACGTGCTTGCTGCTTTGCTTTCTAATGATTAAGCCTAGTGCTCACTTGGGCAGCACATATACTAAAATCCTAACTAATAAGTCTACTAGGGCTTGTGGTTCTGAATCAACCCAGCTTATCTCATCAGGGACATATGCTCAGGACAGATTACCATAAAAGCCAAAGAAAGTTGTCACTAACGGTACATCTGTAAAACAGAAAAAAAATCTCTAATTCAGGATTTTGCTACATGGAATTTACTTTTTAATGTTAAAGTTCAGGAAATAAAGTCAAGGGCACTATCTATTAAATACCTTTTGGATACCAGGTGCTATGTAAACAATTCACACGTGCTGTATTATCATCATAGTGAGTCAACACAACCTCCCTTGAGGTAGTTACTATCCATGCATTACATGTAAAAGAACTTAAGATTTCAGAAAAATGATTTGTCCCAAGTCTATACAATAGTTGCAGTTAATATAGTAGAGTTCAGAAGTGAGACTGAATCTGATAACACAACCTGAGTTAACAGTCAAATTCTATGTAATAAATTAAACTCAAAATATGAAGTTCTTTGGATATTTAAAAGATACCACAATACAACACATCCAAAGTAAAATTTCAAATATGTAATTACATAAAAAAGATGAAAATTGTGGTAATACCATTGAGTAGGTCTAGGTAAACATAAAAACCAAGTAGCTTATTTGTAAATTGCTGGTGAGTTAGGAAATCTATGACAAATCCACTCAAGGTTCACTCATGCAGTATCTTTGGTAGGCTTCAAATAAAAACAAGGGTATCAATGATATCAATAGCCTGAAAGTGATTACAGAGCTTTCAAAGAGGAAAGCTCAGGCATCTTCTTTCAGATTTAGACAGAAAATACCCCTTAAGGAGATGGTGGAATAGAGGCTCATTCAGTATTTTTAAATTTCCAAGTATAACTGTCTCTAAACTGTTGATTGATGGAGCTGCCAGTAACATCATTTTTCTTGACAGTTCACACAAATAGGCAGGATTGAGGGACTTGGGTCTTTAGAGATCTGAGCATAATCCAATAGACTATAGGTCCTGCCTTCATGACTTTTAAAACAAGACCACTGGCAGAACACAATCAGACACTGATATAGGTAACTATGTTAAATACAAAGTAAAGAATTCAAAGATCCAAGGTTCTAGATCTCAGGCTTCTAAATTAAAACAATTGCACGTAGATGACTCTTCTACCCACTTGCCAACCTACACAAACATATATTCTGCTTGGAAAATATAGGATATAAGCCTCAAAGAAAGAAAAAACCAATTATAGAGGCAAGCTCTTTACTTGGTGGTACATAAAAGGAGTAGCTAAAGATAATAATTATAGGACTGAAAAAGTAAGCAGGGTACAATGTCTACCACTTCCTAATGCCTAATCACAGAAGAGTTAGGAATTTACAGACTAACCATAAAAAAGAGTCACATTAAAATTATGTTCTACTTTAAATTCTTCAAATATAGAAAGGATCACTTTTACGTATATGTAGAAAAGGCGATCAGTGGATGCTTAATAAATGTTAGCAACATAAACTTGTATTAATAAGCTTTTACAATGAACAGATATCTATAAAAAGGAATGTTTCTAGGAAGCACATTTAATTAGAAAATTAATGGAGAATTGGAAAGCTGACAAGGACAGCAAGTTAAATATTCAACATAGAGCTGAAGGACATAAAGCAGATGGTTAAATGTGAACAGCACTGTTCCCCTAGGAACATAGACAAAAGAGATATGGGGGAAAACAATGAAGGTAGTATAATGATGAGTAGAAAAAAACACACAAGGGAATTTATGTGGTTATCTATTCTATGAGTCGTTAGAGACAACCTAGAAAAATACTAACTTGAAAAACTAAATCACAAGGACAAATATTATAAAAACAGAGTATCTTAGTGTAACATGAACTTTTTGTGTGTGTGTGTGGTGCTAGGGATCAAACCCAGGGCCCTGTGCATGCAAGGCAAGAGCTCTACCACTAAGCCACATCCCCTGCTCAACATGGACATTTTAAATATTTCTGATCAAGAAGACCAAAAAGAGAATGTGCTTGGCTCTAGTATGTGTGTACCCCTAGAAACATTCAAAGCTTATGATTGTCGTGAGAGTCCCATTCCTCAGTAAAGAGAAGAGGTTTCTAATAATGCTCGGGTTACAATCATAGAAAACTATCCTTAAGAACATATAGGACTCACTTCTAAGTTTAGTTTTTTTCATTATGTTAAAAATAGACATCATGAGAGAATATGATGACTCAAAGAACATCCACTGAATTTTACATCTCAGGAAATCTAAACTGAGACTATCTCTAGTGCTGCTAAGGAAGCAGTGAAGTAGACGTTCTTTTTTTTTTTTTTTTTTTTTTTGGTACCAAACCCTGGACCTTGTACTTACCAGGCAAGCACTTGAGCTACTGAGCTAAATCCCCGGCCCTAAAGTAGATTTCTTACAGAAGAGCCAAGGACTAAGGAATGGGGTGAGGGAGGGGTGGAGAACAGGTCTTTATAGAGAACTAGGTTACGTGGAAGCTAGAAACACATATCAGTTATTTTCTAAGACTTAAATATTATAACAACATAAAAATACAAACACACTATCTTCAGCTGAAAGATAAAAAGTATTCTTTGCTACATTAAAAAAATCAGAATAACACATAGCAAGGATTTGGTTCCTATTTGGTTCTCTGCCATTGAAAACAAGCAGATCATGTTCCCTTTGTCTTTGAAGAACCCCAAACCTACCGTGTGGCAAGGTTATGTTTGCACCATCAATGATTGCTTGTGCCAGTTCATGATCATTGCTCTCGAAAGCATGTGCGGCAGCCTTCAAGGCATCCCAAATCTCTTTACGGCCTTCAAAAGCTGGTGCAGTGTCCCAAAATTCATCCCTCTTGCTGCGCAGTTGTCCATCTGTCATTGGATAATCGCTTTTCCATTTTGGTTTCTCCTTTTTCAAAGGCTGGTTACGACCTAGAGCAACTGAGAAAAAGGACAAAAGAGTGACATCAAAACCAAAATTTTCAAAAGATATTCTTTTTTGGTAAGAAAAGTTATCTGGTAACTTCTCTTTGGGATTATCCACCAATATGATAGCTGTAAGTCTATTAATTTCTGTATTCTGAAATCCCCCTAACCCACTTTAAAATGACAAGAGTAAATGCAGACTTTAGACAGCTCTATGCAAAACTTTCATAACCTACAGCACTTTTCCATTCAGTATGGCTTCTTTAAAGGAAGGTTTAAAGGAGTGACAATTACAACAAACTGGGGTACACTGTGATGAGAGATACTGATAATGAGGAGGATATGCCAGGGTGGGGAGTACTTGGAAAATTTTGGTTCCTTAATTGTACTGTAAATCTAAACTCTGAGATAAGTCAAGGGATATCGTAATAAAGACACTACATAGGGAATATCTCAGGATCACTGAATATATGAAGTCAGTAGAAACTGAGAAAAACCCAAAGAAGCAAATGAGCAATTGTCAGTGTCCAAAGAACTGCAAAACCTACCAGATCCTTGAAGAAACTGACTGGAGGAATGCTTCCTCTACAGTGTTCCCCTCTTTGGACCTTAGTCAAAGAACTGTGAATAACTTTTTTTGAAATTCAAACAAGCTAATTTAAAAAAGGGTAGGGTAGAACCAATACTTCATTTTTTTGGTAGGAATTAGAAATGGAACAGATAATACTGGACCCCAAGGAAAAGCTCTCAACCACAAGGGAGAAAACAGCAAAATTCTAGTTTTAATATAAGAAGACTAGGAAACAGAAGCCAAGTTTAGTTCTTTTGACAGCACCCTTCCTTCCTTCCTATGTTACAGGGTAGCGGTGTTAGAATGAGCCTGATGTCCCTTCTTTGCATCCAGCTACTCACTAACCTATTTTCTATGAATTATAAACACCTACAGAGTCATTCTTATCTAGGGCTTAGAACTGTATAATGCCATATATATATATATATAAAATCACTTTGATAGATGAGAGAAGTAAAAAGAAAGCTGAAACTCCCTGAAAAGAATGTTAAGAAAGTGTAGGTGAGAAATAAATGACAGTCCAGGTGGGAAGGAGAGAGTATGTGTCAAAATTCAATGTTCTATATTTAATTGTAGGAATACCCATTTAAATAAAATTATTCTTAAAATGGTTCTAAAGCATCCACGAAATTAACTACTCCTTATTGGCCCAGGCCAAATTGAGATGTACGTATCAGGAAAAAATATTACTGCATCTCCTGGGCAATCTCTATACTCTATCAAGGCTACATTCCCATATGACAGAACAAATTAATATGCCAATGTGTGCTTGGTTTAATACTTGGGTTGACTCAAACCCCTTTCATCCAACCTGGCAACTTTATCTCAAGATAGAATATATCATGTCCCTTCTGTGTTCCCACTTCATGGTCACATACTATGCCACCACCAGCTGTTTTTGATTTAAAACCCTTAGTATTGACTGAGTACTCTTTGGCCCTCTACCTTGTCTTAGTGAATGCAAAACAGGTGAGTACTAATAATGTGTGGGTAGCAGAGTATGAACATCATCCAGCTGACAACACAGCTGGAAACAGAATCCAAGTTTCCTTAATCAGCAAATACAATACATACATTGATACATACATGAGTGTCTAGGAAGGGTAGCACTATAGATGTGCCTATTAGGTTTAATTCAAATGTGAACAACAAAATCTATGCTAGTAACTTCTCTCTGTATCTTCCAAATAATACAGATCCACATACAGTGTAATTTCTTTTTTTTTTTTTTTTTTTTTGTCTTTTTCCTTTTTATCGGTACTGGGGAATCAAACTCACGACTGCCTGCTTGCAAGGCGGGCGCTTATGCCGCTGAGCTAAATCTCCAGCCCCTACAGTGTAATTTCTAAAAGATATTGAAAATCACAATCCACACCAATTCCATCAAGAAAGTGAAATGAAAAGTAAACTTAATTTTCTGCTGCATTATCCTTTAGATGAGTTAAAAAGTTTATACACAACACTCAGTATTAGCTTACTTTGCAGAAAGTGGTAGACAGGGTACAGTAAGTTGGTAGATTGAAAAAGAATCCTATTTGAATAGTTTCAGGCCTACCTGAGACTCAGTATCATCATGTGCACTAAATGTACCATAAAGATAACGTAGTATAATTTTTCTTATCTTTCTGAGAGAACTGTAAAGCAAAGATACAGTGAAATCTCCATAATCTCAATAACTAAAGCTAAAGCAACTGAAAGGATTACCTCACATACAGAAACTCAACAAGAAAAAAAAATAATCGCGTAATAAGGGTAGAAAATAGTTTGAAAGGAGTAAAAGCACTTTCTTTACCACAGAGATAGCTTTATTTCCCCACAACTGTATGAGAACAAAATCTCCTAAAAACAAACATTTATGCTGCTTATGGATAATTATTCCAAATGTATTTTCAAACCTATACTGTCCAAAGCCCACAGCAATTAATCTGAACAAAGATCAAAACAACAACAAAAAAATGCCTATGCTATGAAAGAAGCTAATTTCTATTTCTGTCTAGGTATCCACACTATAAACATACATAAAATACACATCTGACTATAAAATGTGAACTAACATGTTTAAATCTTTTTAAACATAAAATTATTTTAGTGAAACTACTGAGCATTTTCATTACAAAAAATGAGATTAAAAGTTTACTGTTTAGTAGATTATGTGCTTTGCATAAGCAAAGGTTTTGATTCACAGTACTGAAAAAAAGCTTCAAGCCAAATTAGTTTACTGACTAATGCACCTTTGTTAACCAACAAATAGGAAAAAAATGAGCATTTAGCAAATACATTTAAGCTATACTCTTACTAAAACATAAACATTTGAAGTTATTATGAGGATTTAATAAATTGCTTCTATAAAGCACTTGTAATAGTGAATGATTAAACTACAAATAGTGTTTAACAACATGTTCTATATGAAATTAAAAATCGTTCAACATTTTTGTAAGAACACACAGATTAATTTTTTCTTTTCATAATTTCCAAATAGAATCTGGCTTCTGAGAATTCAGCACAACACCCCTTCTTACTGTTAAAAAGAACAGTTCTGATCATCTGACTTCCTGTAGATTTTTCACAATATATTTTGTAGAATTTGCTAATCAAATCTTGTTTTGACTTAAAAATTTTTTGAGACATGGTCTCCCTCTGTAGTACAGACTGCCCTTCAACTTGCTTGTGTAGCCCAGGCTGGCCTCAGACTCGCAGTGACCTTCCTGCCTCAGACGCCCGCGTGCTGGGATTAGAGGGCACTACAGGTAATGCCGCCATGCCGCGCATTGCGCTATTAAAAACAGGAAATGTGCTTTATTGCCAAATTTTTGTTTCTAAGTCTTTAAATGGCAGGAAATCTACTATCCTGTTTTCTTCCTATAGTCTAATATTTTGTATACTTTTTGAAAAATAAACAAATCTGTCATTCCAGATAATTTTTCCTTATCAATCTACATTTGCTACTACTTTCAAAAACTGACCCCAAACTTACCCTTCTCAGAAACCTCTTACAGTATCTACTCTTTATCTTTTGCTGTAAACTTTAATCACTTCTTCCTGTTCTGTGACAAGTAGATCTAACACAGAGAAAACCCAAGTATGGTTTGTTTGTGGATTTAAATACCACATAAAAAACTATTTTTATTACATAATTGAAAGCATTTCACCAAAACTCATTTGACATTTTATTGATAAGCAACAATTATCTTCAAACTGAAGCACAGACAGTTTTCATCTTGGTCCCTCTTTGAAAAGCTCTGATTTAATATGAAGGCAAAGCTGTAACATACAGATGAGGTAAAAATATCAAGTTATGACTCAAACAATAATAGCTTTAACATACTGAAAAATGGGAGAATCGGTATCCCCTACTACAACAGCTTGAGGGAAAATAAAAATGAATATTTAAAGAAATCATGGTAAGAGGACAAAAGGTTGTTTCAAAACATTCTTTAGACTTTAAAGCAGCAAGAAGTAGGTCAGGGGTAATGCTCCTACCTGAGACTGATGAGTGTTACCAGCATGAAAACGGAGGGAGAAGTCTCCTGCCACTCTAGATTTAGTTAAGGGCAGTACCCGAGAGAGCTCTTTCATAACACTGTGCTAACCCCTAAAAGGTTACTTGCAAAATATTTTATTCTCACATAAAAAGAAGGGAGTAAATGTATAACATGTATGTAATACATGCATACTTAATTCCTTTTTAGCTGGGTGTGGTGGTCCATGCCTATAATCCCAGCACTTGGGAGGTAAGGCAAGAGAACTGTTTCAAATTCAAGACCAACTAGGCTACAAAATAAGCTCAAGGCCAGCCAAAACTGCATAGTGAGACCTTGTCTCAAAAAAGACAAAAAAAAAAAAAAAAAAATTCATTTTTATCTAGAGCAATTAACAGACAAAAAAATTAGAAATTAAAAATTAAAAATATTAACTGAAATAGTACTAGTCTCACATCCCAATCTTCTCTGCTGCTGAAGAATTTAAAGGTAAAGAGATGTACAATCCAATATAACTCATAAGAGAAAGGCAAGTTACAATTTCACTAGAAAGACTGGGTATGGTGGAGTGTGACTGTAATCCCAGTATTTGGGTGGCTGAGGCAGGAGGATTGCTGCAAGTTTGAGGCCAGCATGGGCTACCATAGTGAGTTCAAGCAGTGAGTACAGAAGACCCAGTCTATTAGATGGAAAAAATGCAGGAATCTGTGCTATGGTTTAGATTGACAATATCCTCTCAACGCTTCGCATGTTCAGTGGTGGAATTCTTGGAAGGTGAGTGGGCCATGGGGGTGCTATAGCTGACCTGCCATTAGGACGTAGGGCCTGGCTGGGGGTGGGTTACAGGGATGCAACCTGAAAAGGTCTGTCCCTCCACGGTGTCTTCTTCCTCCTTCTGCTTCCCAGCTGCTAAGAAGTCAGTAGCTTTCCTCTCTACCCAGCCATTTGTCTACCTTGCCATTCCT